TGGCTCAAAAAAACTTTTCTATGTGGTGCACTGGCTTTTTTTTATAATCAGGCAATTTTGTACTTCATCAGAATTTCATTGTGACAGGTAAACGACACCATACCTTTTTATGTCAAACCCAAAACTACAGTTACAAAAACACAAAGCTCTTCCATTGATCACATCATCCTAGAGTTTCAGATTTTTCTTGTCCTCTATGAATGTAGTTATCCACATTCAACTGTACTTGTTCTTTAAATGAAAATGTAAAATTCCATTTGAATGTGACTACTGCTTATGACCTGGATAAATAAAAAAACATTCATACATACATTGATGATTTTTAAAACATTATATAGGAAAAATATGGTAATTTAAAATGTTATCTCTTTGATTACGCTCTAATTTTAAAATTCATATTGCTGGTTTATTGGTTATTATTTTGTAGTAAAAGAAAAAGCTTTACTAACAAATTAGAGATGTATTTTAATGATAAGAACATCAGGCTGAATTCTAAAGTGAAATATTTGTTACAAAGCCATGTTACTGTGGGCATCAAAGTGGGAAAGCACATTGTTGATACAACATTTTTATGTATGAGGTCATCCATCTGCTCACTCTGTTCCTTTCTATTTCAGTATATTTACATGCAGCTTCCAGAGATTGGATAAAAAGACTCTGAAACCAAAACATGCTTAGGAAAAAAACATGTAATGATGTATTAATGAATACAAAACTGCATTAATGTGTGCAATTTACACTCACCGGCTATTTTATTAGGTACACCTTGCTAGTACTAGCTTGGACCCCCTTCTGCCTTCAGAACTGCCTTAATTCTTCTTGGCATAGGTGTAACAAGGTGTTGGAAACATTCCTCAGAGACTTTGGTCCATATTGACATGAGTTACTGTTGCCTTTCTATCATCTTGAACCAATCTGCCCATTCTCCTCTGACCTCTGACATCAACAAGGCATTTTTGCCACAACTCAACTGCTGCTCATTGGATATTTTCTCTTTTTCGGACCATTCTCTGTAAACCCTAGAGATGGTTGTGCGTGAAAATCCCATTAGATCAGCAGTTTTTTAAATACTGAGACCAGCCCGTCTGGCACCAACAACCATGCCACGTTCAAAGTCACTTAAATCCCATTTTTTCCCCATTCTGATGCTCAGTTTGACCTTCAGCAAGTCTTCTTCACTACATCTAGATGCCTAAATGAATTGAGCTGCTGCCATGTGATTGCCTGATTAGCAATTTGTGTTACCAAGCATTTGAACAGGCGTACCTAATAAAGTGGTCAGTGAATGTATATCTGCCTGAAGTTCAGCTTTAATTTACTATTGTATTGAGTTAACCATTTAGGATGTTATAGTTGAAAATGGCTTCTGAAACTATCAGTTGCCTAGCTCTCCGTAGCTTCAGAAGAAACTCAGAAGTCCTGATGTGAATACTTGTTCCAAGACTGTAACTTAGCCGGTAGTAACTGCATTAGCTTGACATACAATTACTATTTCCAAAAGCAGAGGTCACCAGTGGTAGCCTACATATTTCTCTCAGTAGAGATTTCTTGGCATCAATAAAAAAAATATTTTAAGATTAGTAAGCACACAGATTTGTCAGTATTAGAATATTAATTTCTATCTTCTAGGATACTCCAGGATCATGTCATAGAATCAAGTGAGACTTTTGTCCCTTGTTCGATGTAGATATTGTTATTTTTCTGTTCTATATCTTGTCAAGGAAGTCACATTCTTGGACTGAGCATGAAATGATTGGCTTCATTCAGAACAAAAGGTTTTCATCAATATCACCTATAAAGCAAAAGAAAATTATATTTTTTTATGTAGAAACTAGAAAAAGTTCCCTAAAACAGGTGGTTCTCCAGATCAGTGTTTCCCAACCTTTTTTCAGTCTAGGCTCCCCATTCTAAAATTAACTATTCTAACAGTTTTAGATAATGCAGCAACATCCACACACGCAGGACACCCAACGCTGGAGGTGATTTATTCTTCCAAAGCAAATACACTTTTTGTACTGACAAGTATTCCAATGCTTCTCTTCTCCCTAAGTTTTCTTCTATCACTCAGCTAATGTGACCCCAGCACTGACAAAGAGGAATGGGGGAGGGTCAAACAAGGATGCTGTGCAGGAAACCAACATCCTCTTTATCAACTGATAATGTCATTGGTTGTTAGGACATCGACGGCTAGAAGGTCGTAATGGTTCACAATGAAAACCTATGGCTTTGTGTAACTAAAAAGCAGGCTTGTTCCACCCGCAAGCTTGTATACAAATTTTGGGCAATTTTTTTAGATTTTGCCAAGGCACCCCTGAAGAAACCTCAAAGCACCCTGGGGTGTCTGGGCACCCTGGCTGAAAAAGGCTGCTCCAGATCATCACCGCAATGTGTACAATGTGTGTTTTCTAACATCATACATAAGAACACACATATAGAGTAAATGTGCATGTTCTGTCAAAAAGGAGCTGAGAAGAATAGTGCCTTTACAATTGCTGATGCAACAAATGAGTCCCCAGCAAAGAGGAATCCTGAGACTTTAGTTTGGGGTTGGGCATTGGAATAACAAACCGATTATGAAAAAACTGTTGTGAGACCAAAAGCAGGAGGCCAAGGTTCTTCATGGGCTGTGATGCTGTGGAGTAAGTAAGATTCAGTGCTGTCGCGTGGGAACTGGTTTGTTGATACAGGTAAAATCAAGGGAAGTAATGCCACTGGTGCCGACAATGCCACCCTGAATGCAGCCAGTGGAAGGGGGCAGCTTATTGTAGGTAATGGAGACACAAATAAAGAGCGTAGATAGGTGTCAGTAATATAGAATGTTTTAATTAGGATAAAAGCAATATCCACTACTATCAAAAGCCACACAGCTCCAGCGAAGGCAGCAAAGTAAAGCCCAGCAGAGATTCCTAGCTTGGTGCCAGCAATCTTCCACAGAGAAAGCTGGCACTGGTGTACAAGGATCAGCACAGACCCGCAGGAGTGCTACACAAGCCTACATATCATTTTAAATATCCTCGCTATCATTGCAAAACTAGATTCGAGAAAGGGGTGAATTGATAGAAATGTGTTGCTTGATCATTTTCAGCTTCCACATATGCTCTTGTGTAGACTGTGTAGTGCTCCTGCAGGTGTGAGCTGATCCTAATATGCCATTATCTGTACAAGCTGGATCCTCTCCCAAAATCTATGATCATGATGCTGCAGTTAGTGTGCTGTGTGACCCTGGATGGATGACATTCCTTGGCCAATTGTGCCCTTATGTTCCTGGCTACCAACTGAGTCTTTGTCATGGACTTTTTTGAAATTGATTTTTATCTTTTTCTATTTTTATCAGAGATTTATTGAGATCTTGATGCAGGAAGACCAAGTGGCATTCAGACAAAATGAAAAGCAACAAAGCTGTTAAACAAGATATGGAAAACAGAGTATATTTTTGTACAGGTGTTCTGGGACAGGGGAAAATATACCAAGGGCCCTTTTCAATTTATGGGCCTAACAATATTAGCTGTGGGTCAGGCAGATGCTGGATCCCCCACCTATTGTCAAGTAAACTTATACACTGCTCAGTTATAGGGTAAGTGATGAACAAGTGACATTATTTATAATGCCCTTACCAGCCTTCAGGTTGGTAATATCCAAATGATGTTGGACAGAGAATATAGCCATAACTCCTGTCCTGACAATCCACTGAATGCTTGGAAATGCCCCATGAATATATGTTTCCCTGTTTCCCACCATTAGCAGCTTGGTGAGACAGATGAAAGAGAGGTGGCAGGACAGCCAGCTGTACAGACTTCTTTTCCCATTGCTACCAGAGTACTGCTGTCTTAGCATCTTTTTTACCAGCCCTGATATTCTACCAGCTGTGGCCTCTATTATCAGCCTCAAAATTCTCCCAGCTGTCCACCTGTGTCACTCGGGCTAACCTGAACTTCACTGTGACGGACACTGACTGAGAGGATAACACAAATAGCCATTTGTGTACCTTACTGGTTATTGGAATAGTGATTTTTCTCTAGGCTCTGCTATTACAGAGCCTTAAAAAGACTGTATAACTAAGCCTATGAGGAGCATGTGGACTACCCTTGAACCACATAACACCAATAAAACTAATTTTGGGCTTTCAGAAGGTTAGCGGCTCTACTTTTGTCTCTGGTGCTATAATTGTCATCGGGTCATGGACTGCTTAGAACCAGCACCCATAGGTTGGTGGAATGGGGGATAAAAAGATTGGAGAGGAGCAGTTAAAGCTCTTTGCAGCTTATAGAGACTGTGCTGTGCTGCCACCTAGTACCTTGTTTGAGCCATAGAGACATTGCTTTGAGGAACTCCTGTTTGCACAGCTTCATAATCTGTGTAATATTTTTGTTACTGTTGTTTGTTTTGTACTGTATGCATACTCTTTGCCATTATGAGCCTGCTTGTATTATTAATCCCACTCTGCATATATTTATTCTGCATATTGTTCCAGATTTATCTTTCCTTATCCTTTTTATCGTTTATAAGTATTTCACTGAATTTAGGGATGCAAAAGAGCAGTTTAGTGTACACGACCAGGAAAACCACTGCAGTCAGCTCCTGTTAAGAAAAATTATAACTAAAGGCTTGTTGCTGTTTCACATGTTCCATAGGCAGTATATCATCACATAATTGTGCAAAAGAGTCATTATATTGCGTTCTATGTTCCGATTTAAACTGTTGGTTCTTTTCCATTATCAGACACAAGAAAACCACCTACAGTTTACAAACTGATGCTACATAAAGTGGAATCATTTACATCTATATATTCCTGCTACTTCTATAAGCCCTCAATAAGCTACTACTTGCAGATTATTGAAGGCACAAAAAATTGTGATCACTGTGGACACCTTTCCCCACATCAGAAGCATTGTGGGAAAACCACTGGCTTATGTGTTCCACTGGTAGTATATAAGCCGTCCAATACTTTGTACAATTCAAGGCAGAAATTATAAACACTGTGGTGGGGTTTTAAGCATACTTTAGACATAAATATTACCATCTTTGATTCCAAAACAGTGGCACCACTCCTGCAGGGAAATGTGTTTATCATTATTTGTGTTGCAGCCCTGTAAAAATGCCGTCACACAATGTTCCATTGGGATCAATGGGGCACGCAGTGCAGAAAGTTCTGATCTTGTGAGCAGCCTGCAATACAATACAGAGCAAGCAAAAGACATGAAGAGATGACAAAGATCTTGGTATCATATATATATTTGATACTATAAGATGGTGTCTTAAAAGAACAAGTAAGCAAGAGTAGATTGACAATATTAATAGAAAAGAGTGTAATAAAGTGTAATAAATCGAGGCCGCGGCCTCGATTTATTCGCGGGCCGACTTGCGGCACCGCCGCCGAATCGCGGCGCCGCCGCTCCGTCCCTCGGCTCCTGCCCTCTGACACACAGGGGGGTGGTCCTCCCCAGGCGGCCCCTGACCCTCTCCACCATCTCCAGGGCCACAGCAGCCTGACGCAGGGTGACAACAACCACCCCACCAAAGATCAGCAAGCAAGGACCACCAAGCTGACAGCAGCCCAGGACCACCCCAGGATACCTGCACGGCAGCACCACCAGAACAGGTAAGCTGCCACCACCGATCCCCACAGACCTGCCAGCCTCCGCAGGGCCCTCCCCACTAGCCCTGTGTCCATCCCTGACCACCAGGAACCAGCTCAGGCCCACTGATCGCTGCTCCGCTGCCCAACCCATACATCGGTTCTGGGCCCACCCCTGGACACCCTGCACCCAGCTACTGGGTACCCAGCTACCACCCTGGACACCCAGCACCCAGCTACCGGGCACCCAGCTACCGGACACCCAGCTACCACCCCTGGACACCCAGCTACCGGGCACCTAGCTACCACCCCTGGACACCCAGCTACCGGGCACCCAGCTACCACCCCTGGACACCCAGCACCCAGCTACCGGGCACCCAGCTACCACCTCTGGACACCCAACACCTGGACCACCCTGCGAATCAAGACGTCGCCCAGTGAATCTCCCGGACCACCCAGCGAATCTCCAGTCACCGAGCCGCCAGCATCACCAGACGCCGTGCCTACCAACACCCCCAGATATCGCACCCTACGACCCCTCCACTCGCCGATCCACCGGACCCACTGAAGACCCCTCGGACGCCAGCATACTGCACCCACAGATTGCAGCTACAGAAGGACTCTAGTGGACTCCTCCACGGTGATACAGACTCTCCACATCACCTCGCCCTGACCCGTATCCCTTCACCTCCCCTGACCCGAACAGCACTGCACTCACCCCAGCATGCCACCTGCACTCTCCTCCTCGTTTTCCTCTCCTCCATCCCAAAAATCGCCTCCCTCTACCCGCCCACCCCCCCAAAACAGCTCTACATTGCCCCTTCACTTCTGCCCTCTCCCCACTACGGCACTCACCACCTCCTCCTGGTACTCCACTCCCCGGTCGACCCACGTGCCACCACTACCAGACCCACACGCTCCTACACCTCCCATTCCCATGCACCCTCCTCACCCTTCTCCTATCCGCTGGGGACATCTCCCCGAACCCTGGCCCCTCACCACCTCTCCCCCCCTCCCAGGAACCCCCCCTCCAGGGACCCCCCTGCCCCCCAGCCAGCCGCCGCAACCCCCTCAACCTCATACCTGTGCACCTCCTCCCCGCATCCATCCCCCCTCTCTCGGTTGCACTTCTGAACGCCCGTTCGGTTTGCAACAAACTAACTGCCATCCATGACCTCTTTATCTCCCGCTCCCTCAACCTCCTAGCCATCACCGAAACCTGGGTACAGGCCACTGACTCCACCTCCCCTGCGGCACTCTCCCACGGAGGTCTCGTCTGGTCCCATTCACCAAGACTGAGCGGTCACAAAGGTGGTGGTGTCGGCCTGCTCCTATCACCGCTGAGCACCTTCCAGGTCCTCCCTAACCCCCCCTCCCTAACCTTCTCCTCCTTCGAGGCCCACTGCATCCGGCTCTTCTCACCCACCCCCTAAGGATCGCAGTGATCTACAGGCCCCCCGGATCCATAGCCCGCTTCCTGGATGACTTCGCCGCCTGGCTTCCCTTCTTCCTCTCCTCTGAGCTACCGACCATCATCCTCAGGGACTTCAACATCCCCATCAACGACAACACCCCAGCTACCTCCCAACTCCTCCACCTAACCTCCTCCTTCGCGCTCACACAATACACTCAATCCTCCACCCACATCAATGGGAACACCCTGACCCTCGTCTTCTCCCACCTCTGTACCCTTAACCACTTCACTAACACCCCCCCTTCCCTCTCTCCGACCACCACCTCCTCACGTTCTCCATTCTCCCCTCTCCCCTTCCCCTAAATACCATCACCAGCCGCAATCCTCCCGCCAACCTGCACACCTCCCCCCCCCCAGTGCGCCAAACCATCACCAGCCGCAACCTCCCGCAACCTGCACCCGGCCCCCCCCCTCCCCACTCGGCTTGCCGACCGCTTACACGACAGCATCCTTCCACTGTCATGTCCTGACCTAGCCACCACCGTACACAACGACTCACTATCAGCTACCCAAGACTCTCTGGCACCCCTAACCACACGCAACATCAAACCCAGACCGCTCCAACCATGGCAGAACGACCATACTAAATGCCCTCAAACGTCGCAGTCGTGCGCTGGAGAGACTATGACGCAAAACCAGGTCCCCTCATGCATTCTCCCTCTACAAAATCTGCCTTCCTCACCTACACCTCCTCCCTCCACGCCGCCAAGCAGGCCTACTTCGTTAAACCTGATCAACACCCTCTCCACCTGCCCTCGCCGACTCTTCTCCACCTTCAACTCCCTGCTCTCTCCCCCCCTCCTCCACTCAGTACCTCACTTACCGCCCACGAGATTGCCACTCATCTCCACAACAAGATTGACGCAATCCGCAAGGACATAGTCAACTTGCAATCTACCTCCCCATCTAGCCTCCGCCCCATTCATCACCCATTCATCTCTCCCCTCCTCTGACCTCGCAAACGGCACTACCCCCCACCACACCCAAGGCCCTGCCTACCGTAACCCCCCCATCACTGCACTCCTTCAGCCCTTCTACCACTGAGGAAGTCACCAGAGTCTTCTCAGAAGCCCGCCTCACTACCTGCCCCCTGGACCCTATCCCCTCTCAACTCCTCCGGTCACCCCCCTCTTCCCTCATCCGCTCCCTTACCCACATCTTCAATCTCTCCTCTCTCTACTGGCGTCTTCCCCCTCCCCCCTAAAACATGCGCACATCACCCCCATACTCAAAAAGCCCTCCCTGGACCCCACTGACCTCAACAACCTCAGAGACCAATTTCCCTGCTGCCACTCACTTCCAAGCTCCTTGAGCGCTTGGTCTTCGATCGCCTAAGCGCCCACCTAACTGACAGCAACCTCCTTGACCCACTACAGTCCGGCTTCCATCCCCTACACTCCACCGAAACTGCCCTCCTCAAAATCAGCAACGATCTACTAACCGCCAAAGCCAAGGCGACTACTCTGTCCTCCTTCTCCTAGACCTCTCCGCGGCCTTTGACACAGTCGACCCCCTCCCTCCTCCTTAATTAAAACTACTCTCCCTTGCATCAGAGACACCGCTCTCTCTTGGTTCTCGTCCTATCTATCCCAACGCTCCTTCAGCGTTTCCTACAACGATGCCACCTCCTCTTCCCTCTCCCCTCTCTGTTGGGGTCCCCCAGGGCTCTGTCCTTGGACCCCTTCTCTTCTCCATCTACGCCTCCTCCCTTGGCAAACTCATACACTCCCACGGCTTCAATTACCACCTCTACGCTGATGATACTCAAATCTACCTATCCACCCCTCACCTGACCCCCACATTCTCCGCCCGCATCACTCACCTCCTAAACGACATCTCTGACTGGATGTCGCTCCATTTCCTCAAGCTCAACCTCTCCAAAACCGAGCTTCTCGTCTTCCCCCCAGCCCGCGCCCCGCCCCATCCTTTCCATCACTACCAACAACAACACCACCATCAATCCCGGCCAGCAAGCCAAGGTCATTGGCGTCATTCTGGACTCAAACCTTTCCTTTTCAACCTCATATCAAATCACTTACAAACACATGCAGGCTCCACCTCCGGAACATCGCCAAGATACGCTCCTTCCTTACCCCAGACACCACTAAACTACTCGTACACTCCCTGATTATCTCACGCCTTGACTACTGCAACTCCCTCCTCACCGCGGCCTACCCCAGTGCAAACTCTCCCCACTTCAGACCATCCTGAACTCAGCTGCCAGACTCATCCACCTCACCAGCCGCTCCACCTCTGCCACCCCCCTCTGCCTCTCCCTCCACTGGCTCCCCATTGCCCAACGCATTAAATTCAAATTGCTCACTCTGACCTATAAGGCCATTCACAACACTGCCCCTAACTACTTCACCGACCTGATTCCCAGGTACCACCCTACCCGTACCCTTCGCTCTTCACAGGACCTCCTTCTATCTTGCTCCTGGTCTCCTCCTCCCACGCACGACTGCAAGACTTCTCCAGGTCCTCCCCCATCCTCTGGAACTCACTACCCCAATCCATCAGACTGTCACCTTCCCTCCTCACCTTCAGGCGCTCCCTGAAAACCCACCTCTTCAGGGAAGCCTACCCCACCCTCACCTAACAGCCGCTGCCCTTCCCTCTCCTACCACTCCATCCCCCACAGCCGTTTCCTCCTGTGCCTCTACCCCCTCCCTCCTAGATTGTAAGCTCGAAAGAGTAGGGCCCTCTTACCCCTTGTGTGCTGTTTGATGTTACTGTACTGTTTCATGTATTGTCCCCCCCTCTATTGTACAGCGCTGAGCAAACCCTTTGGCGCTATATAAACTCGATAAATAGATAAATAAATAAAATAATAAAGATGAAGAGTCATATAATAATATTTTGTCCTTCAATTTAACTGTTTGCTCACTGGTAGAATTCCAATTCAATGTGTTTTTGGATAAACAAGATTAAGGGGCTGTTATTTACATCATATCTTCATTCAATTTGTATGATGTAACAGGTATAAAAATTCTTACAATGGATGATCATGCTGCTGAAGTAGGCAATAATCTGGCAATGTGTAATAAAATCCACACTCAGGGTCAATGAGTGATCATTGTCACCCCCAACAAACTATCAAATACCTGAAATCCAAAA